TATATATATATATATATATATATATATATATATATATATATATAACACAACCTAAAGCATCCCATTGAGAGCAGGCACAAACATATCCAGCATATTATTACAAGTCAAACATGGAGATGGAGATGGAGATGGAGAAAGGAGGAGTTGATGATCAGAAATGGGTTTATGATTCTTCTATAGATCACAAAGGAAGAATACCACTTCGAGCTTCAACCGGCGCATGGAGGGCGTCCCTCTTCATCATTTGTAAGAAACCATTTGAACTTTTTCATTTTGAATGATTAAGTGATTGAGCGTTCTTGTAATAAATAAACCATTCAACGTCTACATGTAGGTTACATGTATCATTTTAACCCAAAAAAGTTTACTTTTCTCAAACCTACATCATTTAAACCGTTTGCACTAAACAGCATCGCTCCCCCTTGCCACCCTTAATTTAGTCATTCGTTCTCTATGCCGCCCGTCGTTACCATTACTCTTTGTCATTGATTTCCCTCATTTTCATCTGGTATTTTGTCTTTCAATTCTCTCTTTTTTAAACAGTTTAATGGAGTACGTATAGGTAGATCAGAAAAGAGTGAGAATCGAAAAACAAAAAAATGTCAAAAATAGTGCCAACGATGGTGATGAACAGTGATAGATATTGGGCAACGGTGGGTGGCGAGGGAGAGCAATGACGTTGGGTACCAGGAGTTTGAATGTCATAGAATTTGAAAATGATAAAACCGATCTAAGTTTTTTTGCTTTAAATATCTTCCTAACCGGGATATAAGTAGTTTTTTTTAGTTAAAAGAGTATAAGTCTTAAATTTCTAAAAATTAAATGATTTATTTATTCAAAATAAATATATATTTATGGAATTAATCATTTAAAATTAAAATTTTCAATAATTTGTTTATTAAAAAAGAAGTTTAAGAACTTATATAAATTAATTAAAATTGAAAAGTTTGTTAGAGTTTTCTAAAACCACAAGGGTGGTGTCTGAGTAGTTTGTGTTTGGCTCCAAAGGTCAAAATCACCAGGAGGTCTCAAATTCAAATCTAAGGAGGAATAGAAATCTCCTTGTGGCCATGGAGGTTCAAATCTAAGGAGGAATAAAAATCTCCTTGCGGCCATGGAGGTTCAAATACGGTGACTTCGGACTATCTACAAAGCAGGCGGTCATTCTGGGATTAGTCTACTTGCATAGCGGGTTGGGTATCCAGGTTAATAAAAAAAACTAGATCTTTCTATTATAAAATAATACATACTTTAAGTACCAAAAATTACTACGAATGTTGTAACAATCATGCATTATTGTGATAGTTTAGAAAATTTAATGGTGTAATTTACGGGTTTTTTAGAACACTTTTGATAGAAATTTATCGACTCTTTTTGCTATATTTGTTTAGATAACTAACAAAACTTTTTAGGTCATTATGTAGGAAATAAAAAAACAAATATACAATATTTCATTTATTTTAAATTGTCTAATATTTGTATGAACTTTTTCGTTGTTATAGAAATTAAAAGGGTTAAATGTATAAAATAGCAACTTACTTTCATAAATTTTTTTATTATAGCATTTTATTTTTGTTTTTCTTTATTATAGCAATGTATTTTCCCAGTATTTTATGGCCTTCTAGAAACACGTTCATCAATGGTTTGAATGGGAACTTGGTGAAATTTTTGAATCTTTACATACAACATGATTCGGATTCATTTCTTGATATACCGTTTTATCACATAATCTGATGATTTGATCGTTGAGGCTTTATTTAAGATTTAAAACGACCTTATCAGATATAATCTAAGATACCAAAGGTACATTTTTTCTCTAAATTGTTAGTTAACAAAACATATAGGTCGATCTTGAGACATTAAGGATCATTATTAGTACGATTTCAAAGCATTATGTTGTCTCCAAACGACCGATAAACATACAAAAAAGTAAAAGTAGAATTTGGATCACGAGAAACACTTAGACGGACGTTTAGCTAGGCTGGTATTGTTAAGAGTTCTTTTATTAGAAAGGCTAAATTGTATAAACCCTACATTTTGCCAAAACATATGAAAATATAAGTACTTCACCAGTAATGCATGTACTATTTATTTTTTTTATTAACCTGGATTATTCAACCCGCTATGTGAGCCAAGACGACCATCTGCTTTGCAAAAGCATATAGCCCGAGTCACCGCATTTGAACCTCCTTGGTCACAAGAGGATTTTTATTCTTCCTTAGATTTGAACCGAAGACCTACTCGTAATATTGACCTTTGAAGCAAAGCTCAAACCAATCAGACATCACCCTTTTGGTTATTATTTATTTACATTTCCAAAACAAAATAAAGTAAAAGAAATTCTAGTACAAGTTCCAATCATGGAAAATATGATGAAAACATATGGGTTCCTTGTTCCGAATACAAAGGAGAATTAATGTAGTATGAGCATACGATTCTTTCTTTAGCACTTTTACGATGGCTGTGGATCCCAACATTGACATTGACATGCATTAAGGAGCCAGGAAATGGTTAATTCTTTCCACTTCTTTTATGGATAATATAATTCTCTAGTTTTCCAATGCGTTTAGAATAGGATGTCACTATATATATATATATATATATATATATATATATATATATAAAGAATCTGCAAAGAGCTCCTACCTTTCATGTTCTGTGGCTCGTGATACATAACGATCCCATCATCAACCGTTGACTACTTAAATGGAAGTACTGCTCATAGCCCTTTTTGCTGCAATCAATCCACATGTGCTTCGAACCTCCTTCATAGCCTTGTTCAATTCCAGTCAAAGTTGTCTCTTGCTTAATTAATATAACAAATCTGTCGAAATTAATTAAGCAATCATAAATAAAGAAACTTGTCATGGAATGGTAATTGGTTGTACGTATAGAAAAGTCTATATGGTCTGATGCATATATATATATATATATATATGTATGTATGTATGTATGTATGTATGTATGTATGTACGTATGTATGTGAGAAAGTATATGATGAAAATTAACAAGAAATATATGATCATCTAATTCAAGCTTTTTGGCAGCGATGGAGTTTGGTGAAAGGCTAAGCTACTTTGGGTTAGCGACAAGTTTGATCATATACCTTACCAGAGTCATCCATCAAGACATCACGACCGCAGCTAAAAGCGTTAACTACTGGACTGGTGTAACCACTTTGATGCCTCTTTTGGGAGGCTTTGTAGCCGATGCTTACTTGGGACGTTTCACCATGGTTCTTGTCTCCTCTGTTATCTACCTTCTGGTAACCTAATCATTGTTGTTGGACATGTTAGTTGTTACTGGATTTTACAAAACAAACTGAAGTAATCATCTGTTCTTGTTAAATACAGGGTTTGCTTCTGTTGACAATGTCTAACATGATTCCAAGCTTGAAACCATGTTCAAGTCATGGGCTTTGCCAAGAACCTAGGAAGATCCACCAAGTGGTGTTCTTTGTAGCAATATATTTTATCTCTATTGGGACTGGAGGGCATAAACCCTCGTTGGAGAGTTTTGGAGCTGATCAATTTGATGAGGATCATCTTGAAGAACGAAAAAAGAAGATGTCGTTTTTCAATTGGTGGAATGCAGGCCTTTGTGCTGGATTGTTACTCAGTGTAACCCTTATCGTCTATGTGCAAGACCATGTAGGTTGGGGTGTCGCTGACATCATTCTTACCACTGTGATGGCTTCTTCTTTGGTCGTCTTTTGTGTCGGTCGGCGGTCTTATCGATATCAAAAGGCCACTGGAAGTCCATTGACACCAATGGTACAAGTGTGTGTTGCAGCGTTTTCAAAGAGGAGTCTCCCCTATCCTTCCGATCCTAGTTCTTTGTATGAAGTTCCAAAGTCAGGGAATTCCCATGAAAGGCTCCTTTGCCATACCAAAAGCCTTAGGTAAGCAGCTGTGGGACCAAAATGGTGCACCTCGATCGTTTTGCTGTATTTGCATGTAACCATTTCCTAGTTTTTCAGGTTTCTTGACAAGGCTGCCATTGTTGAAGATGAAGACTGCTTGGAGAAGATGCAACAAGGTCCATGGAGACTATCCACGGTGACAAGAGTAGAAGAAATGAAGCTAATTCTTAACATGATCCCCATTTGGCTAACTTCTCTACCATTCGGTATATGCGTAGCGCAGGCCTCAACATTCTTCATCAAACAAGCCACCCTACTTAACCGTGAAATCACACATAACTTCATCCTCCCTCCGGCCTCCATCTATGCTCTAGCTGCATGTGGAATGATCTTTTCGGTGACAGTCTACGACAGAGTTGTCGTCCCCATATTAAGAAGGATAACAGGTACAGAAAGAGGACTCAAGATCCTCCAGAGGATTGGAATCGGAATGGTGTTTTCTGTCATGACAATGATCATATCTGCATTGGTGGAGAACAAGAGACTAAATCTTCTAAACAATGATGTCTCGAACTCCAACGGTTCAGCTTCCATGAGCGTATTTTGGTTAGCTCCACAGTTCATAATCATAGGAATCGCAGACGGGTTTACCTTAGTCGGGCTGCAAGAATATTTCTATGACCAGGTTCCAGATTCGATGAGGAGCTTAGGAATTGCATTGTACTTGAGCGTAATTGGAGCTGCTAATTTCTTGAGTAGTTTCTTGATCACGATCGTCGACCATGCGACCAAGAAAGCTTGTGGGAAGAGTTGGTTGGCAAAAGATTTGAATCACAGCCGGCTGGACTTGTTTTACGGTGTCTTGGCCTCCATAACCGCCGTGAATTTGTTGTTGTATATGTTTGTGGCCAACAGATACTCATACAAAACTGTGCAGAAGAAGTCCGTTGTGGCTGTGTCGAATAGCTACGATGATTATTGATGAGTGTAATGGGTTATATGAATATCTATAGATTCATGTAAGGAATCTAGTTAATTGCTTCTGTTTCTCATATATAGGTTTTGACATCTCTATCACTTTAGTAGTTATTCTCTTTTGTGCCAAATCGGGATTATAGGACACTCCAAATTTTTAAACGTACTAATAGATCTTTTTATAAGACTTAGTTTATAGGACCAAAAAAACAAAGTGTCCTATGTAAAGGCGTTGTAATAAGTTTATATGACGTTTTTTGAGGTCGTAATAAGTTTTTTAAGACACTTTTAATATAAAGCGTCTCATTAACAACTTTATAGGACATTATTTGAAAATTTGTTCTATAAAAACAAATGTCCTATAAAAAATTGAGTTTATAAAGTTGCTAATGCAACACTTTGTATTAAAAATGTCATAAAAAAAACTTGTTAAGACGCCCAAAAGCGTCATATAAACTTATTACAACACCTTTAAATAGGACAATTTATATTTTGGTCCTATAATTAAGTCCTATAAAACGATCTATTGGGACGCTTAGAGATTACGGGTGTCCTATATATAAACCTAATTTTGTTGTAATCGAATCAAGTTAATGGATTGTATTAAATCTCACTGTACTCAAAATATATGGGTTCACATTTTATCATATATATATATATATATATATATATATATATA